TAGTGAAGGTCGATAGGTTTTACTTTCCTGTTGACTTTTTGGTTTTAGATATGGAGCCGGTAGCCAGTTCTAGGAAACAAATCCCAGTGATCTTAGGTCGACCTTTCTTGGCTACGGCCAATGCATGCATTAATTGTCGTTCCGGGGTTATGGAAGTTTCATTTGGTAACATGCAAGTAAAACTTAATGTTTTCCAAGCATCCCAACAACCTCATGAGAGAGAGGAGTGCTTATTAGTGGATGTTGTGGATGAGATTGTGGAGGAGGCTTTGCCCTCCATTCTTGTAGAGGACCCTCTAGAGGCTTGTTGAGCTCATTTTGGGTTTGAAAATTTTGATATTGACGGATCGGTTGAGAAGGTGAATGCCTTGCTTAATGCTTCCTCTACACCGGATTTTCCTCCGTGGAAAGCCCGGTTTGAGTCACTTCCTCCTCTGTCGAGAGAGCCTACCACACCATCTTTGGTCACACCACCTACACTTGAGTTGAAGCCACTTCCGGTCACACTCAAGTATACATTTTTAGTCATCATTGCATCTGACTTGATTGCAGAGCAGGAGAGTCAATTAATGATTGTTCTCGTGGCACATCGTAGTGCTATAGGGTGGTCAGTGGCTGATTTGAAAGGAATAGATCCCTCCGTGTGCATGCATTATATACACCTAGAGAAAGACACCAAACCTTCTCGTGAAATGCAATGGAGACTTAATCCTAATATGAAAGAGGTGGTGAAATAGGAGGTATTGAAATTGTTGGATGCGGGTATTATATACCCCATCTCGGATAGCAAGTGGGTGAATCCCACACAAGTGGTGCCCAAGAAATCGGGCATCACTGTTGTTGAGAATGAGAGAGGAGAGTCCCCACACGAACCACTGCTGGGTGGCGAGTGTGCATTGATTATAGGAGACTGAATTCCTAGACTAGGAAGGATCATTTTCCCTTACCTTTCATTGGCCAGATCCTAGAGCAGTTAGCGGGGCAGGGTTTCTACTGTTTTCTTGATGGCTATTCGGGGTATAATCAAGTCCCGATGTACCCCGCTGACCAGGAAAAGACCACATTCACATGCCCTTTTGGCACTTTTGCTTACAGGCGCATGCTCTTTGGGCTATGTAATGCACCGGCGACTTTTTAACGGTGTATGATGGCCATTTTCTCCGATATGGTGGAGAAATTCTTAGAGGTTTTCATAGATGATTTTTCGGTATTTGAACCGTCTTTTGAGGAATGCCTTAGGAACTTGACTAGAGTGTTGGAACGATGCACTGAGGCAAACCTGATCTTGAGTTGGGAAAAGAGCCATTTTATGGTTCAAGAGGGTATAGTGTTGGGACACATTATGTCCTCTCGAGGTATAGAGGTAGACAAGGCTAAGGTTGACCTCATTGCAGACCATCCTCCACCCAATTCCGTGCGTCAAATTAGGTCTTTCCTAGGGCATGCAGGTTTTTACCGTAGGTTCATCAAAGACTTTAGTAAAATATCACGTCCTTTGTGTAGTTTACTTGTTAAGGACGCGCATTTTATCTTTGATGTGGCATGCTTGAAGGCATTTGAAACACTAAGAATGGCCCTGACCACCGCCCCAATCATGAAATCACCAGATTGGTCGCTTCCCTTTGAAATCATATGTGATGCCTCCGATTATGCTGTCGGGGCTATGTTGGGCAAAAGGGTCAATAAGGCACCATTTGCTATATACTACGCTAGTCACACTCTCTCGGATGCATAATTGAATTACACTACCATCGAGAAAGAGTTGCTAGCTATGGTCTTTGCCTTAGACAAATTTCGGTCTGATCTCCTAGGTTCCAAGGTCATAGTCTTCACTGATCATGTCGCTTTGTGGTATTTACTATCAAAGAAAGAGACCAAACCTAGGTTAATTAGATGGATTTTGTTGCTCCAGGAATTTGACCTAGAGATCCGAGATAAGAAGGGATCTGAGAATGTGGTGGTGGATCACCTCTCCCCAATCCTTGTTGATTCTACTAGTGACCCTCTTATTTTGCATGATTCGTTTTCGGACGAACAACTCTTTGAGCTGTCACAAGCGAGCCATTCGTGGTTTGCACATGTTGTGAATTACTTGGCCATTGGGCAAATTTCGCAGAATTGGTCTAAGCAAGACAAAGACCAATTCTTTTCGCAGGTCAAGTATTATTTTTGGGAGGATTCGGAGTTGTTTAAATATTGCTCCGACCAAGTGATCCGACGGTGTGTGTCGGAGAGTGAGGTGCATAGCATTCTTACATTTTGTCATTCTTCTACATGTGGCGGTCATTTTAGTGGGCATAAAACGGCCACCAAGATTTTACAGAGCGGGTTTTATTGGCCCACAATTTTTAAAGATGCCTATCAATTTTGTAGAACTTGTTTGCGTTGTCAGCAAATGGGTTCGATGTCTCGGCGTGACATGATGCCAATGTCCCATATTCTTGTGGTAGAAATATTTGATGTTTGGGGGATTGATTTTATGGGACCTTTCCCGTCGTCGTTCGGGTTTGAGTATATTTTCTTGGCAATCGATTATGTGTCTAAGTGGGTGGAGGCGATAGCTACCCGAACAAACGACCATAGAGTTGTAATCAAATTCTTGCATAAAAACATCTTTAGTCGTTTTGGGTTTCCTGGAGCCATAATAAGCGATCAAGGTACGTATTTTTGTAACTGGTTCTTTGAGTTAGTAGTCAAGAAATACTCTATCACTCATAAAGTTGGCACTCCATACCACCCTCAAACTAGTGGCCAAGTAGAAGTCTCAAATAGGGAGGTAAAGCACATAATAGAGAAAACGGTGAGGCCAGATAGGAAAGATTGGTCACAACGGTTAATTGATGCATTATGGGCTTACCGCACTGCTTATAAGACACCCATTGGGATGTCACCATATAGAGCGGTGTTTGGCAAAGCTTGCCATCTCCCGGTTGAACTTGAGCACCGATCATTGTGGGCCATAAAGAAGTTTAGCTTCGATATGGCCGCGACTGGGCTCAACCGGAAATTACAACTCAATGAGCTGGAGGAAATCCAGAATGATGCATATGAGAGTTCGAGAGTTTTTAAAGCTCGGACTAAAGAATTCCATGATAAGCACATTAATAGAAAATCCTTTGAACCTGGTCGAAAAGTGTGGCTTTTTAACTCAAAATTGAGACTCTTTCTGGGTAAGCTATGATCAAGATGGGATGGTCTCTTTGTGGTTGTTGAGGCGTTTACTCATGGCGCCGTTAAGGTGCAAGATCCAAAGACTGGCCACACTTTCAAAGTGAATGGTGAAAGACTGAAGCCATATATAGAGGGTATAGCGACCCCAGTCTTTTCCCATTTGATTATTGTATCCGGACTTAAGTTCCGTAGATTCTGTCATTGTATAATTGTTGTTGTTGTCCCTTATCTTCACATTTGGAGTTATAGGATGTGTTGGGCAGGTTTGTTTCAGGTTGGTTGGGTTTAGAAACCAAGTGTTGCTGCCCAGAAGTTTGGATCTTCGCTCGAGCGAGGAGTTGGTCGCTCGAGCGAGCTGTTGTTTTTGGTTCTTTGCTCGAGCCAGGGTTTGATCGCTCGAGCGAGAGTTTGCGTCTGGTATGGACCTGTAGCTTTGCATTCTTGGCTCGAGCGAGCTTTTCTTTGCTCGAGGGAGTATTTCTTGTGTCTGGTCGCTTGAGCGACCAATTCTTCGCTCGAGCGAGCCTGTCCAGTTTAATTAGACAGCAGCGGGTTTTGATCAGTTTCTCATCCTCTTTTTAGATTCCAAACCCTAAGGTCCGACTTCTCTCTCTCCCTACTCACCTTCTCTCTTAGATTTGATCCACTTAGGGTGTGTTTCTACCCTAGATCCTTCATTAAAAAGAGTGTGTGAGTCAAGGGCTTCGTTTTAATCTGAATTGTTGGTAGTTTGGAGCACTTTGAAGTTTGGGTCTTCATCTCCATCTTCTCTTTTGGGGCTATTTCTTCGAGGTAGGGATTTCCTACTCCATTCTATAAGTTGTGTTCTAAGTTTTGGTATTTTGATATGTTGGGGATACTTTGGTAATTTTGGGGAAAAACCCTAGGGGTATTAATAAGTTAATTTGTATAATTAATTAAAGGAAATTGGGGAAATATGGTTAAATTCATGGAATTGAGGAATTCATTGATTAAGAGGTGTAGTTGGATAATCTAAATCACTCACCCATTGAATTGTTGATATATTTATTTTCAGTCTAGAAATAACTGTTTTGGGCTATCGGTGGAGGATAGTCGTGATTGTGGTGGAAACCCTCCGTGAGAAGATTTCCGGTGGGAAGGTTGAGAAGGGTTTGACGGTGTATCCCGACCTGAGTGTGAGATACCGAGACCGTCTGTTTGTGCCGGAGTCTTGCCGAGAGGAGGTACTCCGAGAGTTTCATCATTCACGCCTTGCAG